AAATACATGAATATAAGTTCTACTACTATAAATTATTTAAAACACATAGGATATGCTACTGGATATTAACCACAAACAGAAATTTGGGTTGCCATCCCAACGGGAATGGAAACAAAAGCAAAAATAAATAAGTGGGACTACATCTAACAAAAAATCTTTTGTTCCTCTAAGAAACCATCACAAAAACAAAAAGGTAATCTACAGACTGGAAGAAGATATTTGCACAGCACACATCTGAGAAGGTTTAATTACCAAAATAAAGTACTTACATCATTAATATAGACAACCCAATACAAAGATGGAGAAAATATCTAAATACATACATTTGCAAAGAAGACATTCATATGTTCTAACAGCATCTAAAACATTGTTCAGTGTCACTTATTCTAAGAGAAAGGCAAATAAAAACCACAATGAGGTATCACCTCACCCCTGTGAATATGGTCCATATAAGAAAGAATATAAACAAAAATTTTGGAAAGGATGTGCAGAAAATGAGCAATCATCCACTGTTGATGTGAATGCAATTTAGTGTAGACTTTATGGACAAGGTAATGTAGATTCCTTAAAAAATAGCAATGGAAATCCCACATGATCCAGCAATACCTCTGCTTGATATTCACCCAAATAATGTGAAAACACTAATACAAAAGTATTTTAAGCACTCCTGTGTTCATAGCAGCCTTTTTCACAATTGTCAAGTCATGGAATCAATCTGAATGCCCCATGACAGATTAGGAATACTACTTGGCTTAAAAAAAATATATATATATATTTTTTTAAGCCAAGTAGTATTCAAATAGTGCTTTTTTGGAGAAAATGGGTAGAACTTAAGGAAATTATGCTACATGAAATAAGTCATAAAATGAAAGACAGGCCCCCAGATGGTTTCACTTGCTTGTGGAATATAAATAACCAGAAATCATATACTGGAAAAGCATAGCAAAAAAACAATTCTTAGACTATGAAAAATATACTGGTGACCAAAGTGAATGGGGGAGGGAGAAGTGGGTAGGAGTAAGAAGAGAATAAGACGTTGGCATTGGAGCTTTAGTGGAAGGTGAATGAAGCATGTGCACATATGGAGAAGTAAAAATGTAACCCCAAGGTTACATAAATATGTAATGTTAATTTAAAAATAAGGAAAACTATGATTGTTTAAAAAGGAACAAAGAAAATCTCACTTGCAAAAACTGCTGACTTTAGAAATAAAGAAGGAAGAGCTTAGAAAGCAAGTGGAAATATTCCTTTGCTCTTTTTTTGGCTAATAATTCAGTAAATTGTCTAAACTCTTCATGTCTTTCAGATTGAACCACTTTTTCTTTAATTATAAATGTCACAAACATAAGCAGATACATACTTCTAGAAGTTATTAGGACGTCAGCATTAAAGGTGTCCTTTGACAACTTGAATCCAGTGGAAAGGAAGAATTTTCTTAAATCTAACATACAGTCAAAAAGATGATTTTATTTTGTCAAGTGCTGGCTGGGATGATAATAGTAAATAAGTGAAAAGATAACTTTATGAAACAACAGGAAGTTGAACTTACATTTTTCTTATGGAAAATGATAATTTTAGTTAAGTGGTTCATAAATTATTGCATTGCTCCTCACAGTATGTAACAGTTAAACTTATTAATTTTAGGCATGGGTTTTTGTACAAACAAATCTTAGTAACTGGAGAATTTAAGTATTAATTTTACTTGATTAAACATAAATTCTCCAAGCAACAACAATGTAAAAGAGAAATTATAAATACATACACACACAAGACTTCTAAGCTGCCCTTTTATCCCTGACCTTAAAAATAGCAATTTCAGGGCCTCCCCTGGTGGCACAGCAGTTGAGCGCTGGGCTGCGAAGCTGCCCGCAGCCTCTGCAGCACTGGTTCCATCCCTGGCCACTGGCGAGGGTCCCACATGTAGCTCAGACCTCTCCTGCTGCACCTGCTGCTCCCCTCAGCAGTGTATTTCATCAGTCTGCTGTTCTGTTTCCCGCTCTGGCTCTGGTGAATTCTCTCACCCGCCCCCCGGGCTCCTGACTGTACCCAGTGCTTGTATAAAATAATAAATTAGAAAAAGATTAAAAAATAGCAATTTCATAACTTTAAATTATATTCATGTGAGATTAAAATGTAAACATTAATATTTTATCTGGCAAAAATCTAAAATAATTTATTTGTGAGGTATTGATTTTTTGGATATATGGCATTTCCATATTTGTTCATAATTTCAAGGGTAATATTTCAGAAAGAAAATTAAATTTGAAGAAAAACCATTTATAAATTCATGCAAAAGATCCAAGACTCAGCGTGTTTCAAGAATTAACTACAAACAGTTTTGTCATTGCAAAGACCACTTTGCTAATCTCAACTCTTGTTCTCCATCTTCTAACAGCTCAATAAATGAAAGACATATTTAGCAGTGTCTATAGCAAACACATCTTCATGCTTTCAAGAAACCAAGTACAGCAATACATGACAACATGCCAAAGTAGTAGTGTAATTAAAATCTGGTGGAACACATTATATCTATTCTAGGAAAGCACAGGGAAAAAAAAAAAAGACAAGAGAACCTTATGTCCTGTTTTGTGGGAAATTGCAAGGTGAATCAAATACATGTTAAAATCAAGATAACAAAACTTCTATATGTAAATAAATAATAATTATAACAATTATAATCATAAAATAATAATTATTCTTCCTAACATAAACTTAAAGCCAACTACATAAAGTCTTTATCTTATCTGTTCATTGTTTTGTTTTACACACCCTTTTAAAAACTTCTCTCTTTAAAGCCTTTATAAATTGTAACATTCAAGTGGTAGAAAAAAATATGTAACAGTTTAACTATGGCAAGACACCAGAGAATTGGAAAGTTCTCATTTGAAGAGACAAATAGAAACAAAATATATTTTGAGAATAAGTTATAATCTTGTAAACTCATTTTAGAGATAAGAGGCTCTCATTAGTGGAGTTTTTGCCACCATCGGAGATGTATTATCAGTGATGGTAAAGCTTACTGGGATTTCTGTAAAGGAACACAGTTGGTACTTGTTACTAGCAAAATGCAGTCTGCTCTTTGAAAGGTAGGGGTCCTTCCAAAGGGGATCATGTCTTGCCAAAAAGCTCATTTGTTTGAGCTTTCCCCCCTCCTAGGCTCCCCAGCGATTCTCCCCTTTGCTTGGCACCATACAGCACTATCACGTGACTTTTTGGACTGGCAAGTTGAGTTCGTTGAACATAAAGCCTTGGCAGTGGCAATTATCCTGGCAGCAGAAGAAGCCAGAAAATATATACCAGTAAATGGATCTAATTTTAATCACTATACATAGGGTACTTGATTTATTCCATATCATACCAATTTCCAATATGACAGCAAGATTCTGCTTTCAGTTGCCATGCTCAACAAAAGAACTAAAGTTGAAATTTACTTACATTGCCAATGTACAGTTTTCTATAAGAATCTTTTCTTTTTAAATTGTTTCCTCTCATGTTTTTCCTTGCTTTGGTTCAATGAATAGGTTGAACAGGCTATTATTATTATTTTTTTTTAATTTTCAGAAAGTGTAAAACAATGTAACTTTTTGTTATATGTTCCGTTTGGACAAGTTAGTTTTACCAGAATCAAAAATGGATATTAAAAATCATTATTTTGCAGTAGTTAGTAGATTTTCTTGCTCCAGTAACATTTTATGTAATCTGAATATTTTGTGTTTCACATCATTTCTTTCATGTTGGTAATTCATAATTTTTCTTTAATTAGGTTAATACATTTACAGTGTTTAAAAATGTGCTAGTGGTAGATTGTAATGGTAACTACACTTGAAGGGAGAATCCTATATTTCCAAAACAGCAAAAAAAAATGTAAATCAATATTAACACAATAAAAAATACATTAAGTAAAAATAAAAATGTGCTGAGAACTGATACAAGCTCAAGATCTGTTGACTTCTACTAATGTTTTTATTGTTCACATATTGATTAATTGTCTTCAGTGCACTAGTAGTCACTGGCCCTGTTTATTTGTATATTCAGAGCCTGGCCAGTTATGTTGTATACATTCATAATTGCAAATCATGAGCAAATAAGCACCATTATCATCACCAATATCATCAACCTCATCATGAAAAGTACACATTATTTTTGCTATGAAATTATGTTTAATAGTAACACTGCAAGAGAAGTAAAACCATTAGTATATACATTAAGGTTAGACTATAAATAGAAGGGGTAACGGTGGGTATGTCTTAGGAACACTATAGCTTGCAGACTAATCAGAAAGGGATACATAATTAGAATATAGTATTGTTGATCTTAAATAAATATTCATAATTAAATTTTAATTTGTTCTGGGATGATCAAAAGGATTTTCAAGTGTTTTTTTTTTTTTTTTTCCTACTTCTGAGAAGAAAAGAGACAATGAAATTAACCTTTTTAAACACCTGTTATATCCCTGGTACCATAATCAAAAATTTGTAGTGTTCATCTCCATGCTATGCAGGTAAGTGATACTATTCTTGTTTAGAATTTTGAAAATTATGGCCAGAATGTTTTGTTAATTTCCTTGGTAACTCAGTAATTTCTGAGCAAGGATTAAAAAAGAAAGTTGTACAGTGTGCAAATATTTTCTCACATTTAGCAGAGTGTCTCTGCTTTGATTAGTTTCTTTTATTGTACAGAAACATTTTAATTTGATGTAGTCCCAACCGTTTATATTCTCTTCTGTCTTCCTTGCAGTTGGGAGGGAAGTTGCAAAGATATCTCTTAAGTTTATGTCATGGAGTATTTTGCTTATGTTTTCTTTTATGTAATTTATTGTTTTACCTCTTATATCCAAGAGTTTCAACTATTTTGATTGGATTTTTGTGCGTGATGTGTGATAGTAGTCAAGTTTCATTCTTTAGCATGCCAGTCTAACTTTCCCAGCATCATTCATTAAAGAAGCTAATGCAAATCAACAAAAAGAAAAGCAATCCTTGTGCCCCCTGGCTGCCGAGCAGGAGCCGGGCGAGCCCAGGAAGGAAAAGGTAGAATTAGAAGATCATGTGATGTTGGAGTAGGAGGATTTTTCTTAAAGACTTTAGGATGCTGGTTCCATTGTAGGTACAACTATGCAAAACAAAGAATCCAGGAAAGAATTGCCAGAGAAGGAATTAAAAATAAGATTTTATATGAAAGTACCCACCTTGATCCTGAAAGAAAACAAACCAATGGCAACAGCAACAGCTGAGCAATCTCGGGCATAGAACACCCAAATATAATGGAAGTCAGTGTGAAAAAAGCTGAGAGCAACTATAAAAAAAACTACCTTTTATGTACCATAAAGCCTTCAATCAAGTAAAAAAAAGAAAGAAAGAAAGAAAAACAATCCAACCAAACAAATGGACAGAAGAGCTGTATAGGCCTCCTCACACCAGTGAGAATGGCCCATATTAAAAAGGCCAGAGCTATCAAAGGTTGGTGATGGTATGGAGAAATGTAATTGCAAATTTGTTCAATGTGAACTGTTTGTGGAAATGTAAACTGATTCAGCCCTTATAGAAAGCAGTGTAGAGATTCCTCAATTGGCTAAAATAGATCTGCTATGAGGCCCAACAATTCCACTCCTAGATATCTACCCAAAGAACACAAAAACCCAAATTCCAAATGAAACCTGCTCTTTCATGTCTATGCAGCCATATTTAATGCAGCCAAGGTATGGCAACAATAGAAGTGTCCCATAACAGATGAATGGATCAAGAAGATTTGGCATATGATCCAAAAAAATAAACACACAATGATCAAAAGATAAACTCGTGGCGGGCCTCCCTGGTGGCACAAGGGTTAAAGACACAGTGCTATCAAGCTATTGCCAGCTACTGTAGCATGAGTTCAATCCCAGCCCCAGCCAACCAGGGAGCAACCCACATGGCACAGAAGACCTCTCCTGTCTTGCCTGCTACTCCCCTCAGCAGTGTATTTCAGTAGATCTGCCTGTTCTGCTCCCCACTTTCTCTGGCAAATCCTCTCACCACCACCCTCACCTCTGGTCTATACCCCAGTTCTTGCATGCATAAATAAAATCAATCTTTAAAAAAAAAAGATAAACTCATGGCATTTGCCGCAACTGGTTGGAGTCAGGAGGGAATATGTTAAATGAATTAAGACAGAAAAAGAAAGATAAATACTGGATTGTGTCACTTAGATGTGGAATATAAAGAAACCAAAAAAAAGGTCAAAGATAAACATTAAAATCAACCCTTGAAAACTAACCAAAGATGTGAAGCATTCAGAGGGGGAGCAGGAAGACGTGGGGAAGGGTGACAAAGGGGAGAAGAGCCCAATAGACTATTGGAAGGACTATGGGTGCTTTGGAGGTGGGAGAGTTATCATGACCACACCTGAGGGGAAAAATTGTATACTGTCAAAATATTAGCAAGGATGTAAAACAATGGTATTTCCTTAAATTAATTAATTAATTAATTAGTTAATAAAAAGAAAGGAAGGTTATATTGACTCTTAGCACACTGTGATATATTCATTTGTCCAGGCTATAATCCACATTATTCAATAAAATATTAATCTCTGTGCGGCTGTGACAGTATTGTGTAAATGCTATTAAAGGTCATAAGCAGATAATGTCATAATTTTCTAAAATAATATGGGGGGGATTGCAATTGTATGGGGAATATAAAAATAAAATTTATTAATTAAAAAAAAAATATGGGTGAGCATGAGTCACTCAGTGGAAATGTCCTAAAATTAGCTCCAAAGTTTCTTTGAAGAAGAAATTTTACATTTTGATAACAGCTTCAGTTCATGCCTAATAGTTCTAGTATGCCTTTCCTGATGGTCCATTTTATGGGTTTAGATTTATCTCTCTATTCCCCCAAAACACAAAACCTATTCCTTATGCACATTGCTTAATAGTTATCAGTACTTCTTTTTTTTTATCTCTAGCTAAACCCTGATCATTACAGATTTTGGTAGCTGAAAATAATATCTAAAATGTTAAAGTGACTTTGGAATTGGGCAATAAGAAATTGGTGAATTTTCAGGAACATAATTAAAAAAAGGATTGCTTTGAACATACGATTAGTAGAAATACATGTATCAATAACTCTATCATCACAGACTCAGTGGAAAATCCTCGTTTTCCATGAAAAGAAATCTTAAATCAACTTAACAGATAACTCCATCAGATAACTAAATTGTGGTTCAGAAACTCTAAGTGGATATATGGAGATTAGTGTTGCTGCAGAAGAAGGCTTGTGAGAAAATGAGGGATATATTATTACAAAACAGTGAAAGAGGATATTTTTCCTTTACAGTTGCAAAAATTTTAGTAGTATCATTTCCTCAAATTATACAGAGAGTAAAATTTGGAACTAATTAAAGTTGACATTTATCATAGGGCATACCCAATAAAAGATGAATTTGTGGCATGTTTTTTTCTTTGTCTTTATATTAAAATATTAATATAAAATATTAAAAAATATTAATAGCAAGAGAAAATAGATATATTGAGAAAATAACTGTTAAATACAGAAGAACCTAGACTTGATTATTTGGGAAATCATCACCTAGCCAATTGCAAATAAGAACACTAAAATTAAGAGATTCCTCCTAAAGGAATGCTAATATAAAAGGAGTGCTCAAAAAAAAATAAACTAAGGATGTGGCTTTAAGACCATTAGATGATATTTACATAAGATTAAAAAGTTATATAGTAACACAAATGCTCTTTGATTAGGTGTATGACTCATTAATCCCCTCAGCCAACGGGGCAGAAACCAGCTAGAGATGAAATTATGTAGGAAAGGTCTATAGAGGAGATTCTTCTGTACTGTAGTAATTCTCCATCATAGACAAATGAAACTGGAAATGTTCTTAAGAATGTTATGCTGAAAAAAATTACAGCCACTTTGGACTAAAAGGGACAGAGAGAGGACAGAATAAAAGGCTTTTGGGTCCCCAAAATTCTCTAGGAAGGAAACTGACTGATAAAACTATTTAACAAAAATTTCGTACCATCATACATTAAAAAGGAAAGATTATTAATAATTGGAGCCATAAGGGGCGGAGCAACATGGCGGCGAGGAGACGCTGCGAGTAAGATCTCCCATTAAAAAAAGTTAATAGGGAGGAAAAGCGGCAGGTCCCAGTGAGAACTGGGACACGGAAGATAAACGGGTGAGGCCAGAGAACTGCCCGAAGAAGAAACTGGCCATAAAAGAGGACTAGAAGGGAGGGAAGCGCAGAACCCTGCTCCCCTCCCCCGCCCACAGAGGCGGCACTCTCCGACCGGCAGAGAGGAGGAAACAACAAACCAAAACGACCCACAAGAACAAACGACGCAGCAAGCGGGACTGTGAGTGGAAAGGAACTATTGCAGCCACCACACCCCGTGAGCGGGAGCTGAGGCGAACCCTACAGGATCCACCGCGGCGGTGAGCGAACGGCTCCAGGCGCCATTAGAGAAGAACAAAGACCCCGGGAGACACGCACACAGCCCGGGCTGCCGGTAAGCCTGCGCGGGAAAGCAGCGCGCTTGGCGCGCTTGAAAAGCAAGTGCAGACCTGGATCGCGGCTGCCCAGGTCCCCGCGCCTGCGACCTAGGCTTGCGGGGAGACGACCTAGGCTTGCGGGGAGACGCGCGGAGGTCCTCACTGAGGTGAAGGTCCCTCCCTGAGTGAGCAGGAACCAGGCGCCCAGGCACGGGAGCTGTGCAAAAGGCGCCATTCCCGCGCCACTGAACTGGGCTACAGCCCGCGTCCTGGAACTGAGGGCTTTGAACTGAGACCCGGGGCACGAAAATTCGGGGCGTGGTTTCTCCACGACGGTGGGGCACAAGGCAGACACAGCACCCCAAAGCTGTTGAGGTGTACCCTACTATTCCCGCTCTGTTCTCTGTCCCACGGGGTGGGGGGAGGCGAAAAACAGCCCCCCAAGGACAATAGGAGAGATCTCTGGCGCCACCTAGCGATCAGGGAAAAAAAAAGTCACTAACACCCTATAAAACAGGACATTTCTTAAGACTGCTTGAAAAGGGCAGAAGGTTTCTGGAGGACCCAGTGGCCAGCCGGGAAGTTATTCCACGCCAGACCCCTTCCGACCAGCAGTCTGAGCCCACAGAGGGAGCAGGCACCCACGTCCGGGGCAGACCGGGTGCGCAGAAGAGTGTGCCTGAAACCGGAGGCGCAGGGACTGCATCCCGCTTCGCCATTTGAGAACAGGGACATTTCTTCAGTAAAAACTGCCTAAAACCAGCAGAAAGCTCCCCCAGAAGACAGAGATGGCTCCTGGAAGAGCCAGAGGGGAGCGGAGAAGTTCACCCAAGATGTCAGTCAGTCCGAGCAACACAGTGTCCCAACGCATACGACAAATTAGAAAACAGACAGTAGGGAGTAGAAGAACCACACGCAACCTAAAAACTCCTCAGGAAAGAAGCACACCACAAAAAGAAAACCACTCCCCAGATTGCAACGACAGCAACTTGGAAGAACTTCTGAGCCTTCCAGAAAGAGAATTTAAAATTGCCATGATTAAAAAAGTGATAGATCAGAAGAAGGAAACTGAGTCCCTAAAGAGGGAAGTAAGAGAAATGCAGGAGATCAAAGAATTAATGGAGGAACTAAAGAACTCTGGGAAAAGCAATGAAAGCAGAATAGATGAAATGGAAGAACGAATAAGTAATCTTGAAGACACAGAAATAAAAAGAACCAAAACAGAAAAGGAAAGAGAAGTACGAAGGAAAAAGAATGAAGAAAGACTTCGGGAACTATCTGACTCCATGAGGAAAGGAAATATAAGAGTTATAGGAATTCCAGAAGGAGAGGAGAGAGATGTAGGAACAGAGAAAATATTCATGGATATAATTGAAGAGAACTTCCCAAATGAGAAGAAGGAGCTGAAAATTGATATACAAGAAGCAAGAAGAACACCAAACTTCCACGACGAAAGGAAAAACACAGCAAGACACATAATAGTAAAGCTCCCAAGAATCCAGGACAAGGAAAAAATAATGAAGCTGACAAGAGGGAAGAAACAGATAACATTCAAAGGAAAACCAATCAGGCTGACATCAGACTTCTCTGAAGAAACACTACGGGCAAGGAGAGAGTGGAGGGACATAGTCAACAGACTCCAAGAAAACAGATGCCAACCAAGAATACTCTATCCCGCAAAGCTCTCTTTCCTCCATGAAGAAAGAATATGGACCTTCCCAGACAAAGAGAAACTCCGGAATTT